AAAATGATAAACATCATAAAAATATATTACTAAATATCCATGACGATATAAACACGTATATGAAAATACAAATTAACCACTTACGTATTGTTGCTCGACTGCAGGACTATAAAACACCCACCCATTGGCAATTGGAATTAGCCTTACGGAATGCTTCGATTCGAGTGATATCCTATTTAAAAAAAAAATAGATTTATTATACTTTAAATAAACATTTAAATATATCATAACTTACTTCTTTGAAGCATGTATTACTGTACGAGCTCGACCCCCCTCTGTTTACAACTAGTTGTTTTGCACGGACTTCTTTGACGCTGAACGACTTAAAAATTCAGGCGATTGAAAATGTTCGACTGCCTTCGCCCAATTTTCTGGTGACATACCATTGTGGGAGGGGGGGTTGTTTAGTGCCATTGGGATATCTGCAGGCCCCCCGATATCCTTAAAATAAGAATGGGCTTTACTTTTTCGGCCTCTGTAAACTTTTGCAAGACTCGAATCAATGCTCCACAACAATTGTGCATGCTCTGGATCCAAGTTAACATTATCCAAATCAAAATTATTCTACAAATACAAAAAAGTTAGTTAATTAAATAACAATCACAACGAAACTTAAAATATTATTCAAATAAAATATTATTCAAGTTACCTTTAGATGCATAACTGTCGCATTCCTTAACGCGGGGGAAACATTGTCTCAACCAGATACGTTTAAAGGGACGTTGTTCCAGAAATACCTCTCAATTTCATGTGTGAACCAATTAGCAGGCTTCCCAACAGGGGAATATGTGATCTCCCTGTCAAAATTCAAATCCACAGTCTTTCCCTTGTTTTCCCTTATCCACTTTCCTAGCTCTATATTCTTTGACAAGCCCCTTCTTTTCTTTGGAAGCTCGAATGAAAAAAATACAATTAAAAATATTAGTCACGATAACTTATAATAAATTAATTAAAATAACTATTAAATATATCATAATAAAACTTATCATCCTGTTCATGTTGCTCGCGACCAAAGCCTCTTGTAGATGGTGGATCCTCAGCTCCATCACCATCGTGACCAAGGCCCATAATATCGGCCATCACCTCCGTTACAAAACAATTTATGATTATAAATAACTATATTTCTTATAACTATATTTAATATCTAAATTAATAATAGAAAATTTAATTTAATAGTTTTACAAAGCAATTTATGATTATGAATAATTTTAAAACTAAAATACCACATAAATATTAAATTTGATTTGAAAATTGCTCTTTTGTAATATACACACTTTGTTTTTCACACATTACATACATAGATACACACACTATACATACAAATACATATAAACATTTTCTTACACATATTCATTATAGCATCATACTTCTTTTTCTATTATAGCAACCTAATTCCAGATAATAATCATACAGAAAAACACACAAAAACATAAAAATACCACATAAATATTAAATTTGATTTGAAAATTATTCTTTGTAATATCCACACTTTATTTTTCACACATTACATACATAGATACACACACTATACATACAAATACATATAAACATTTTCCTACACATATTCATTATAGCATCATACTTATTTTTCTATTATAGCAACCTAATTCCAAATAATAACTATACAAAAAACACACAAAAACATACAAATAACACATAAAAAATTCCGCAACAATTCATTCCAAATTCCAAATAATAACAATACAAATAACATACAAAAACATACAAATCAAATATATAATCTCAAAATTCATGAAAAGGAACCTGTGGTAGTGTAATTTAGTGATTTTCCGGTAAGAAATCCATTTTTCCGGCAATAGATGCGGCAAAATTAGATTTTCCGACAAGGCTTCCAAAAACATTAAATTAAACACTTAAACTAGTAAAGAAAACTTCAAAACAGAAGTTGAATAGAAAATACGGAAGAAATCGGACCTTAAATCGAACTTTTATCGCCGGAAATGAGTGTGGTCGCCGGTAATAATGGAGCTCCACTAGTGGCCGGCGGTAATAGCTGCCGGAGACGAGTCCTGTGGCGCAAACGAGGTCGTCGTCGGAGGTGCAGTCGCCGGTTACCTTTGGAGGAGTGAAAGGAAGCAGAACGAACAGGAAAGTGACGCAGTTGGGGGGTTATCTACAATGAGTATTAGCGGCGACGCTAGGATTTTAGCAGCGACAATAGGGTTTTAGCGGCGACACCCTGGAGGGAAAACACATCGCCATTTTTCCTCATTTCCCACCGTTGGATGAAAAACAGATCGAACGGACAGGGTTGATTTGACGCGGATCGACACTGTAGCATCATTAACGGCGACGCCTTTAGCGGCGACACCGAGTATTAGCGACGACATGTAACGAGTTAATTACATGTCGCCACTAATACTCGGTGTCACCGCTAATACCGATATTTCTTGTAGTGGTGATTAAAAAAATATTTAATTAATCCGACTAATTTAGGCAAGGATTTAAAACCCTAGATAACCATAGAGAAAATGTATCGTTTTTCTTCATGCGCCTCACTCTGCCAGTCCTCCACTAGCCGCTTCCTTTCACTGTCGTTCCTTCGTGCTCCCTCTGTTTCTTCGTCTTCTCATGATAGCATAACTTGTACATGCCTTTACTTGCATCAAAATATGAGATGTATGATATTTGAATTTTGTATATTATTTAAAATAAATAACATGGGTTAGACTACAATGATTCATTACTTTTTGTGCATTCATGGTTTGTATTGCCGCGCAAATCAAAAGATGCATCTTTGTGATGGATTTCTTGAAACTTCTTTTTATCTTTGATTATATCAATGATATATATTAATTACGAAAATATATTATTATATTACAGGCCTATATAATAAACAAATGAGATACATGTTGGCCCCTATGACTAAATTGTCAAATAAATCAAATTATTAACACAATCAAAGCTTCTAGTAACAATAATTAATTGTAGTAAATAGTAAACACTTATAAAAAAAAACGTTTTATTTGTTAATTGTTGGTTTGTTCTTATGATAATTTTTTGATTTCATAATTTAATAACAATTCTTTTTCAATCCAATTCATCTTTATGTTCACAATGTTGCATAAGAAGGTGACATATTTCAACCAAATGATATTCTTATCTATAAGCTTCAAACTCACATAAAGAACAAGTTTTTCTCAAGGAATTTGTTTCTTATCCTCAATTATTTTTAATGTCTCTAACTCAATAACTTTTGTTTCAAAGTTATCTAAGAGATTAATTATCATGATGTTTTTCTTTCTCTTGCATGTGTTTCTTACCTTCATATACATTCTTACGTTAAGTCATTCTGACATAATTGAATCTTGAATTTCAATTATGTTGGAATGGAATCTTGATATTTCCTCTGTGATTTATGCATTTTCAATAATTCATGATTAAGAGTTTTGGTACAATTCACAAGTCTGCAGATTTGTACAAAAGACTTTAATTTTTTCTTTTTCATTTAGTAATGAATTATTTTTTCAGAATGGTTAGAAGAAGGAATCAATGATTGATCATACAAGAGAAAGATTTTAAATTGAGTTCAACAACAAGTTACATTGAAGAAGATTAAGTGTAAACAAATCGATTTTTTTGACCATTAAAGAAAATTAAGTATATTTGTTCAATAATTGTTTATTTGAAAATGCTATTCGTAAGAATTTTATTCATTTTGATCACATTTTGTTAGAATATGTATAATTATATTAAAATCTAGCAGTCTCTAAGAATATTTATGATTTTGCGTTTATGTTTTGATATGTATGAATATATTAGAATGTTGTTATTATTCAATTTCAATTTCAAGAATTTTATTATTCTTCATTAATATTCAAATAGAATAGCATTCTAACAAAACAATATCATAGGACATCATTCTAACAAAATAATATTATAACATAATTAAAATTGAAATAATTAAAAAATCAGAATTCAAATTAAAATAATAAAAAAATCTCTTAAAATTTGAAATTTTCATTTTTAAATTTGTGTTTCCTAATTTGAAAGTAATGAAAATGTATATTTTTACTCGTGTTTTAATTAAATTGAATTTTTTTTATTTTAATATTAGAGATAAATGTCTTTCTTAAAATAACTAAAATAATTGGTCTACAATCATTCTTATATCTACACAATAATTAATTACAATATATATATCTGGTAAGAAATTTTCTTTGGTAGGAAGGTAAGAAATTTTCTTTGATAGGAAGGTAAGAAGTTTTTTTTTCTACATATTTTTTTGACGAACAAAAAAAATGAATTACTAGATGATTCATTTGTAAGATGATTTACAAAAAAAAATTCTCAAAAAAACATCTATATGATTCATTTTTAAGTAAATTAAGAAAAAATCCACTTTTATGACAATTTTAATGAATAACAACAAAATCATTATATAAATGAATCATCGAAATGTTTTTTTTGAGAATTTTTTCGTATGAATCATCTTACAAATGAATCATCTAATGATTCATTTTGTTTGTTCGCGAAAAAAATATGTAGAAAAAAAAAAACTTCTTACCTTCCTACCAAAAATTTTCTTCTTATTTGATCTTGACTATATATATATATATATATATATATATATATACCCATTAGGCATTTGTTCCTCAAAACAATCTCATGATATCTAAAAGGTAAATAAATATATTGATAAAAAGAATAACCTACAGTCTTAATTTCACTTGCATACATACCATATACCAAATGGTCCTCGAACAAAGTAACCAAAACTCTTAACTTTGGTCTGGATATAGTTCTTTAAGCTACAATTAGTGACCGGAGTGTATACCGTTTTAGAAGACTTAATTAAAGTGATTGGACAAGATATTATTAAGGTCCAGGGTCATAGTTAAGATGGTGGCTCACACTCAAGTACTCAACCATGAGGCTCAACCCTTGTCTACTTTCCACCAGGGGACCCATGCTACATGTCCCAACTCACGACTATAATATGTCTTTTTGTTCGATGAGTAGGTGGTCAGTTGTTTTCGAAGCTCATGACCCTACAATTCTCAAAAGCTTGCTCCAATTCCAAAGTCTGGTGCCTCATTATGAACCTTCTATTCCATTTTCATGTCTTTTTTCTTTTGCGAACTACATTATGGTAAAGTGTATTTCGTATACATTAATTCATCTGTACGCATATATTCATTCATATAAATCATGTTATTGTCCTTGTTGCTTTTCTGTTATCATTATCTCTTTCGTCCGATGTCCAAAGAAGAAATGAGTTTGTCTATGAACGTAAATGGCCATTCTAAAGTGCCTCCAGGGTTCCGGTTCCACCCTACTGAGGAAGAGCTTCTTCATTACTATCTGAGAAAGAAGGTCGCTTACGAAAAGATCGATCTTGATGTTATTCGCGACGTTGACCTTAACAAGCTTGAACCATGGGATATCCAAGGTGATTATTGATTCTTTATTCTTCAATTCGTCATCTCATGAAAAGTTTAAACTTCTTTTTACGTTGCTTTCTTCAATTCTTAACCTTTTAATCGTTTGTGACTTTGTAGAAAAGTGTAGGATTGGATCCACCCCGCAAAACGATTGGTATTTCTTTAGTCATAAAGACAAGAAATACCCCACAGGGACACGAACAAATCGGGCAACTGCTGCGGGTTTCTGGAAAGCTACAGGTCGAGATAAGGTTATTCACAGTAGCTTTACGAGGATCGGTATGAGGAAGACGCTTGTGTTCTATAAAGGTCGAGCACCTCATGGACAAAAATCGGATTGGATTATGCATGAGTATAGACTTGACGACAACACGATTAATACCAACCAAGATTATGCCTCTGTAAGTTATTTATAAAGAAAACTTAACGTTTCTCACCTTCAAAAACCTTTTTGTAAAAAAAACAACGAAACTGTTTAATGATTCAGGGCTCCAACATGTGCGATTCGGCTCAAGAAGAAGGGTGGGTTGTTTGCCGAGTGTTCAAGAAGAAAAACTACCACAAAGCTGTGGAAAGCCCCCAGAGGTCGTCTTCGGCTCCTTCGATTGATTCAACCACTAACATGCAACCTCTGAACAAAGCTGGAAGTGTTCGTGATCAGTTTCTAGTGTACGTCAATGGCAGATCCTGCAAGAGAGAAATGGATTCTTCTTCTCTCAACAATATCGCCATCACCCATGACTGCTATAACCCTATGCAACAATTTGCAAACCCCATTGATGACAGATTCATCCACCTCCCCAGACTCACCAGTACTACGACCACCATCGCCACCTCCGGTCACTTCAGCTCAGCCACCTTTGATCATCAAGACTCCACCTTTCACGCCCATAACTCCATGAACCACTTGTTTACAGAAACCGAACACTCTAGAAACACAAATACGACCATGGTGAATGAGCATGAGAGAAGAGTTCATGATCATCTTGACCATTGGGCTGATCTAGATCGCCTCGTGGCTTCCCAGCTCAATGGAAAACTAAGCTCATCGAATCAGTTGTATGCTTCGTACAATGAACCCAATGAAGAATTATGTTTCGCAGTTGATCATGAGGAGCAAGAACAATCACAACTCCATGGCTCCACATCCATGGCTAAACCAGCTTATACAAACGAGATAGATCTATGGAGCTTTGCCCAATCTTCATCACAGTCGTCGTCCCCAGATCCCTTTTACCATATGTCAGTATAATTCCCATCATTTCATTCCAGTTTACTTCGTATATTTTCCCCTCAAACATTTGAAGAACGACGTACGTACGTACCCATTATAATCCACTTTATTAGTAATACAAAACAAATAAACCACTAAGGGCATACAATACAACGAACAGTTTAATCGATTAGTTTAATGGATTGTCAATCTATTCTTCATATATACCTCTATCAAACAATATGAACGGATTGTCAAATTATCATTTAATTCTTCGTACACCTCTTCAAAAAATTTCTTATAATGGATTACAAAGTTTGATGGAACATATTTTCAGTAATTAAATAGCTTCATTTAATTTTCTCATTGAAAAGTTCCCATTCAAATCAGTATACATTAAAGGTCAACATGGCAGTTTGTATAAACAAGTAGGTAGCAATTTTTATGAGTATACTTGTTGACCATGATATAAAGTCAAAATATATAGTATCATTGTATTGTGATTGATGGACACAGATATTAACATTCCCACATTTTATATATATATATATATATATATATATATATATATATATATATATATATATATATATATATATATATATATATAAAGGATAGAGAATATACATTATAGCCCACTAAACTTAGGTACTAAACCTTTAAATTATGCAGTTTTATCTTATAAATATAACCGATTGAGTTTTCACTTCTTGAATATAGAATTTTTCATTGCATTTCTTTCTTCTATTATCGTTTAACAATCTCCGTTTTCTTTGCTCCATTATCGTTTGTTACTTCATCGTCAGTGAACGTTACTGTTTTTCACCATCAAGAAAGTCAAAAATAATTAACATTTTTTCTTCCATATCAAATTATTGCTTCAATATTGAATCTACCACGTCAAGTTTTAATCATTAATCTCCTAATTGCAATTTTTAACTAATAAAACCAAGTAGTTTCATGAATTTTGTACCTAAGCTTAGCTTATATTCACTTTTATATATATATATATATATATATATATATATATATATATATATATATATATATATATATATATATATATATATATATATATATATATAAAATCATCATAAGCATGGAAAAGGTGATCTTTTGAAATTTTGATGTTCTAAATAATGGGTGGATTATGACACTGACACATCGTTGAAATCGAATATAAATGATGGAAATGCATGTATTACAAAATAATCGATGGGTTTTAATTGGTTGGGTTGGATCGGTCCCATTTACAAAAGTGATAGATGATGATAACGATTGTCCAACCAACTAACCAACTAGACAATGTATGAAGGTGGACTATCAAAAAAAAGTTGGTACGATGAGAAATTGAAGGTTACAATACATTATAATTAACAAAGAATCGTATCCAGTGAAACCATAGCTTTATACTTAAGTATCCTTAACTATATCATCGTATACAAAATAAAGGATATTGTCATATTGGTTTTCATTTAGTTACGTACGTATTTTTTTAGGATATACTAGAGCATATACACTGATTTAAAAGAAAAGTTGAGACTATTCAAGTTTATCACATGGAAATTTGTTGTGGCTTGGTCCTACATGGCTTTTTATTAATGATGGGACTTTAGCAATCATTAAGTAAAGCTTATTGATTATATATCTTGGAAAAGTCGTAATGAGTATGTTTTAGTTATGGTCTGTAACATAATCATTGGTAGCTTTGTAGAATTTGTTGAAGTATGTGGTACCAAATTAATTTTGTCTCCACCAATGCCCATGTAGACAAAATGTAGACTCTGCCAAATCCCTTTTGTATTTGTCACCCAATACGTTGCATAATCGCTGCCCACCATAGCAGCCAATTGCCATGTTGTGGTGGTACGCAAATTTTGTATGACAATCCGTCGTCGCAACACAAAACTATTATGGAATATTTAAGATATTCTCATTGATCTCATAGCGTGAAATACAAAGGCCATATTACAGCTTTTAGAAAGAGAAAGAAATGAACTGAAACTGTTGCTTCGATCATTCAACTGAAACTGTTACTTTGATCATTCAATCCCAGATCTTTATACGAAGAGTAAAGTAGGCTAGGGTAGGTTACCTAACTGCTAAAAACCTTCTAACAACTCTTAACTAGTTAACTACTGTTAAATTAAAAAAATGCTCTTGTATCTAGTCTATATAAGCTCCAATATTCCCCTCAAGATGGAGATGGAGAATAGATATTCTTCATTCCCATCTTGATCATAAAAGGCAGTAACTTTGTTGGCTTAGTGAACATGTCAATGAGTTGTAGTGCAGATTTAATTGGCATTAACTTTATAGTTTTATCCATTACTTTGTCCCTCACAAAACGACAATCGACTTCGATTTGCTTCGTACGTTCATGAAATGTAAGATTCGTAGCAATTTGTAATGGAGCATCATTGTAACAAAATAAAAGAAAATAATCATTATGGGAAATGCCAAAATCTTTGAAAAGTTGTTTTAGCCAAATCAATTAATGGCCAAAATCTTTCGAAAGTTGTTTTAACCAAACCAATTCAATGTTGTAATGGACAATCAATTGTTTCTTGGACTTCCATGATATTAAGGAATCTCCCAAAAAGGCAAGGAATCCAATCACAGATCGCCTAGAATCTTGACACTTTGCCAACTTAGAATCACAAAATCCCTTGAGTTGAAGGGAAGATGAAGAAGATAAGAAGATGCCTTGACCAAGAGAAGTTTTGAAGTACCTTATGAGATGAGAGATTGCATCAAAATGTTGAACTTTGGGATTTGACATGATAATTGTTAAACCACGTATGAAAATTTTGGTCTTGTTATATTGAGATACAATAAGCGTCCCACAAGTGGTCTATATTGAGATGGATCAGCATAATCTTTACCTTTTGCACAAAAATTTGACCTTGGTTCCATAGGGTATTTTGGGTTTTGCTCACAATAAATGTAACGATCCAAAAATAGTGATAAGTTTTAGTTTTAAAAACCATTAGTTCCATAAGTCAAATATCTCAAAGTCAATCACCATACACAATGTCAAAACATCAAAGTACAAATAGCCAAAAGTGTGAAATCATGTGGGGGATACTATGCCATCACGTCGTCTTCCCTTTTATACCGGAAGTACCTAAAACCATAAACATAAACTATAAGTACAAAGATTAGTGAGTTTCACAAAGTACCACATACCAAACATACAACTAAGCTTGGCCCTAGGATATATTCCAACCTAAACTACAATCATGGGCCTAGCCCTAGGGTTTATTTCAACCCAATCATACAATAATGGGCCCAACCCTGGGGTTTATTTCATCCCAATCATACAAACATGTAAGAGTCATAAAGACAGCTAGCATCCTACATACATAAATTAATGGACCGACATTGGTGCCTTTGCCCACAAGTATAGTGAGAAGACTCACATCTCTTAAAATACTCAACTGCTACAGCTCTCGTTGACAAAATACTACTGTTATTCACCACTTATTCAATCATATAAGATAAATCCTTAGCTCTTCTTTCAACTAGGGATTTGACCAAAAGTCAAATCAAGTCAAAAGTCAATGGTCAAAATTGACTTGCCACGTCGTGGCCATCCTTAGCCACTTCGTCGCCCTTAAATGACAAAACATACACATTTTCCCGAGTCGTCATGCTGTAGCGACCTAAGTCATGCCATGGGCACTCGATTTTTAGCACCTTAATGGATTAAGCTGCTTTCTTAGATCCTAAGGATTCCGATTTCCAAATATGGTCCGAAAAAAAATCTAGAATGATAAAGTCTTCAGCTTTACCCGTTAAGACCACCCAAAATGTCAAAATCTCAAACCCTAGAACATATTCTAATACCAAATCTAACATTAAAGTTGGTGCTTTATAGACATGCATGTCTTAAATCCATAATGAACCAAAAATGAGGGTTTTTCCAAGGAAATATAATGCATGGATCAAAACCCCACAAGAATCCAGATCCAACCCAACAATTATGTGAAAAGTCCTAGAGATTCATAAAGTTAAAAATTTTATGATATCATAACACTTTCTCAAATGAAAATGAAGACTTAGGGACAAAACATAAAATCTATCAATCTACCATGATAAAAATCGAGTCATTGACACTTATAAAGGTCCTTGAGATTGCCAACACAAAGGATGAGAACTAGTTTGTTGAATCTAAGCTCGCTTCTTCTTATTTCTTCCTTCCAATGCTTCAAAGAACACCAAAAAGACTCACAATAAGAGAAGGAGGGATTTAGGGATTCTTATATCTCAAATAGGCTAATGGAGGCTGAGGGTGAGCAAATCCTGGTCTCCCCATTCCTGTAAATAGGGAGAACAAATCCTAGCCTCCTCATTCCATTAAATAGGGTTTCTTAGCTCTCAATGTCGTGGTCTTGAGCGCTACTTCAGTACTCCCCATGACCCGATATCCAACCTCACCCCAACAAACCTGGGTCCTACACTTCTTTCCATATAACTTCTTGAAAGGTGTCCTATCAATACTGGCATGATAACAATTGTTACAGGAGAACTCAGCCAATGGAAGGTAAGTATCCCAACTCCCGTTAAAATCCAACACACAGGCCTGGAGCATATCTTCAAATGTCTGAATCGTCCACTCACTCTATCCATTGATATGGGGTGGTATGTTATACTGAAATGTAACTGAGTACTTAACTCCTCGTGAAACTTCCCCCAAAACCTAGAGGTGAAAGGAACATCTTGGTGTGAAACCACCAAAACTGGCACCCCGTTGGTGGGGTGTCAAGTCCACCAAGCAAATTACACCCTTTGTTTGCAAATAAAACGTAATATAATGGTAAAAAGGGGTATCGATCCTTGGGAAAATGGTTGTATTCAATCACCAATGCAATCTAAAAGAACTATTGTAAATAAACTAACTAACTACAATTAAACTAAAAGGGGGTGTTTGATTACTTGAAACTTAAAGACTTGAATAACTAAAAACTTGCAATTAAGCAAGATAGTGAGATGCTCAAATATTGGAGAAAGTTGGTTAACTAAGGCAATTCAACACAATGAACATTTGTATGTTTATCATTAGGATTCAACATGAAGCTTATCATCCATCCCAAATTGGTTATAGCAACCATAAAGCATGATATGCCAAGATTCCTCTTAGGTAGTATGGAGGTTGGGGAAGCCCACAACACACCTTCTTAATCAAGATCAAGGGTTTAATTGAAGCAATTGAACCCAATAAGTTGATTAGCCTTAAGAAAGAAGGAATCCCCCATTCCTAAAGGATGTCAATGCTTACACATCCACAAATGAGCTATGATTCATAACCTAGAGATGATTTTTACCATCATAAAGCTCTTGTTCTATGTCAATTCAATGATTCAATACAAAACCAAAGAAATAAACTAACATTAGCTCATTCAAGTGCCAAGCTCATGATCAAAGCATTAAACAAACATAAGAAATATGATCTAGAACCATAAACATAAGATAATTGATAATCTAGCATGAATCCTTCAAAAACCCACAAACATTCAAAGGTTTTAAC